TTCTAGGAGAAGTCTTGCAAAAGGGGGTGAACAACTTTTTCTACATGTGGCTGGCGATGGAGTAACAGGCGACTATGCCTTAAGGTGAAATCCAAACATGAGAGCGTGCTCGCTGGCTCAACAGACGGCAGTGAGAGGTCTTATAGGCGGAGGTAGTCCGCTGATAACCGGCTTTGTATGAAACCTCTGGTACATCATCGTTTTCCAGAATTCAAAAAGTTACCTAAGCGCAAAACAAATATTTCGCATCTAGCTGAATTTCTATGACTGTCTCTTCCATGCAGTTATTACAACAATTTCAAAGAGATATTGAGCTTACAGCTATGCATATAGAAGTTCCCTACCTAAATTTTCATCACGATGTACGGATTGTACAGCTAAAAAGTTTTGCATTACTTATTAAACAATCGCATGTACAGTTCTGTGTGTTATGCAGATTCATATATGCAAGCATGTAATTGCAAGATCATTCCTAGAAATAATCACAATTGTTCTGCTTACGCAAGAAGTCATCATCTCCCACGAAATCTTGCCTGACAGCTTATTCATAATTCAATAGAAGGAAATGTGAATGGAAAATTGCGAAACTTTATAATTATGGCTCATTAACAAAAGAACTAAACTACTTAACCTTGTTCTTCTTTCATTTTTTTTGTCTTTTCATTCTTGCACAATCACATTTGGTTCGAAGTGGTGTTCGAGTGAACTAACCTTACACATACTAAGAGTTATTCATTTGTCCTATTTCTTTCTACTTCTTCCCATTCCTTTAACACATTTTGACTTTTCTTTTACTCTCCTGATATCCACAACTTGTAGAAAATAGGCAAAACAATGATCACTCAAATTGACTAAGAAGAAACTTTTTTTTATACTAACAAAACCAGACAGAAATGTTACATTAAAATCGATGCTCATTTGGTCCCGGTAGTATCATATCGACGAAAAACTGGAAGAATGAACTGTTCACAGTGCATGAATATGAAACAGGTGTTACCATAATTTTGTATAGGTATGCCGGCTGGTTTAGGAGTTCAGTTAATATATTCATTGTCAGGGGACTGTCAAGATGCTTTAAAATGACAACAAAATGCCACGTTATTTTCTGGGGTATCACGTGTGTTGAGGCAAAAGTCATGAAAAGCCACTGATTGGCATAATAAAATGGAGAACTTAGTTATTGAGGGGTAATTTTAATGAGCTATCACACATAAAATGAGAGTAAAATAATGCGTTTTAATGGAGTGAAAAATGATTGATAGTTAGCATTGTAACACTTATTACACAAATGGTTCTTATCCTTTGGAATAGGTGCATCGCTTTTAATGGCTTAGTATTATTTCAATCTACTGTCAAAATGTTTTTAAATTAAATGTTAAGAATTCAATGGCGAAAAGTTTGAAAGAAAATATTTGAAGCAATTTTTATAGCTCTCAAAATGACCAAATAAACCAAAATAAACCAACTGTAGCTCCGCTTTTCGGCTTGGCAAAATCCATATATTATTAAGCATACCAACCCAAGATTTTGAGTAGAAAATGCAATTTGTATTTGGCTTTTAGGAAGCTACGAAAATTACTCGTCGATTCAGTCCTGTTTTAGTCATTGGAATCAAATACCTCCGACAATGAGAGGATAAAAATAGTCTATATGCGGAATAGCAAGTTTCCTTTCCTTGTTTTTGCCTATGACAACGTGTAATCATGAATTATGCCATGAAAAAAAACAAAACAAACGTATCTGTCCGATGAAACACAAAGAGATCCGAAGTATTTCTCTGTGTCACTACAGACGCACAACGGAAAATAGCGAATGAAAGGTGACTATTTCAGTTTTATTTATTTTGGCTAATGAGTAAGGTTTGAGTGACCTCGGCCCATGCTGTTATCGATACTAAGCTTTCGTCTTACTCCTTTACAAACGACGTTTAATATGGACTTAGATGTTGTCGCTGGAATTCACAAATTCATTGGAAACGCCACCTTCACCACACAGGCAGCGTTTCGGCCGAGAAATTTTTCAAAGGTATTTCTGAACGTTGTTCTCCTTTTTTCCTCAAAGAAGTGATTAATAGTAGCTATTTGAAATACTTTCACTTAATTATTCAACTAACAGCGATAATAAACGACTCTAAAAATGTTTCGCGCGCAAGTTTACGATAAGCGTAGTTTCAGCATGACACGTGTCCGGGAAACACTTTAGATAATGACAGTGACAGAATTGTGTTTTGAGAAATTCTAAAACTCTATTTTTAAATCGGGAAATAGTTGAAAGCAAAACAAAGAGTATGTTAGAAGAAAAATAACAGTCCTATTCAAACGAATTGTGAGCGATTTTGCCCCTGCAGACTTCTAACAGAACAACACAACTCCCTAAAATAAACGACAAGCTGCGAACTAAAAGCCTCGACATTTATAACCGATAACAGGTAGCTATCAATAAAATTAATTGAGTGAAATAGATATCCTCGCTGAACTTTGTTTCCAGGGAGATTTTACTAATAACGAGCTTCGTGATTCTACTTGCAAAACTGCTTCATTATCAATTCAGATCTTGTTTCTTGAAAATTAGATGTTGTAATTCGAAGCAAGTATGCTGTAAACGTTATAGATTACGATTTTTTTGATCGATCAATTCACTGTAGAGCGTGTTATCTTTTGTCAGTTGGTTTTGAAAATCTTAACTTTTTATTGTCAAATTTTACATCCACATTTTTTGCGTAATTCTATTCATGAGATTTTTTTCCACAAAAATGCTTTTGTGAGACAGAAAAATTAATTTCCATAAATGTGTCGGGTTGTTGTTTATCACATAAACTTTCTTGACAACAAAATGTCTCTCAAAATAAGACAGTTAATTAACGAATTTTAGCAATATATTCTATCAACACGGGTATATTAGTTGAATCTAACACATAAACTGAGTGCAAGTTTTCAAACCTCTAATCTTCCAAAAAAAACTTCGTGTACGTCAGAGGTCACTAAGGAAAATTTTCTGCTTCAACTACTAAGAGAATTTAAAGTCGAAGTTATAAACCTCTCCAATATGTTTGATTCATTAAATTTTTACACTGACCACACTACTTGGGGGAATTATGTTTATCGTATTTAGAAACAGTAGCTTGAAGAACACGTCATTTACAAATATTGTTAGAATTTCGCTGTGAAAGCCATGGAAACAAAAAGAGGTGTACTTTCTTCCAATGGCGCCGTCTTTGATTTTTATGTAAGGGAAAACCACGCGTGCGCGATGCATTAACAATGCATCACTACCTCGAGAGCGAGAAAAAGTAGGAATGTTATGTAAATATGTACAAGGCTTGCTGAACAATGAATAGCTATAGTTATTACTACGACAAAATGTGACGACATATGGTACAATTCTTACCAAATGTAATGTTTTTTTTGATTATCTTCAATTTTCTTTTAAACGATCTGTCTCACTCAAATTCAAGTTCAAGAAAGAGGAAACTACATCTAATATTATAATTTGTTCTCAGCCAATGGCAATTCAAAGGAAACAAGTATATCAATATTTCAAAGGAAGCTTTTTTCTAGCTTTTTCGATGCAGTTCTAAACAAAAATGAATAAAAATAAGGTGATTCATTTAAATTTTAGCTTTATCTTATCGAAGTCGTATCTCAGACGGACCTGTCAAATTTTGCGACGGTGAATAAGTTAGAGAAGTTTTTTACGTCTATTGTTATCATTTTTCCGTCTGGAAGCTTAAGAGTAGAGTCCCTGTCGTCTAATTCAAGAGCATCAGTTCCAAAGGAAAAGAAAATTGACGCAAGATACGACGTAAAATTGAAGGCAAAATTGAAGAATCTTAAGCTTTAGAGTGGTGTCAAGGATTTCTGTTCGCAAAAAGAGGACCAATTACTTTAAGTCGTTTACGAAAACTTAAGGAAAGGCCCCTTCTTCCTATGATGAAACGCTCGATATAAAAACTAATAACAACTGCGTATTTTCACTTCAATCCCAGCCAAAAGGTTGATGAAATTTGCTGTTTTGGAATATGCTTTGAAACATAGATAATCATATTTAAACAAAATTTTCCAATAGGGTCAAGGGAATTTTAAGCCAAAGTGTTAAATAATTTACAAAATCAAAATATAAAAATAAGCGCGCGATACGAAGGACTACGGTCCTCATACAACAAACTGAACCAGAGTTAAAAATCCAAAATATCGCCTCGCCAAAGACAAAATAAAGGCTAGGAGCTTCAGATTTGTGATATTTCATGTTTTTCACTCTAAGTGGGCGGCAAATTTCATTTCATCGTCTTCGTTTGGAATTAGTTTCTCCTGATCCAATGAAGCGAATAGAACTTTTTACATTTTAATAATTATGCCTTCACACCTTTCTCGGAGAAATTATTAGTCGCTGCCAGAAATTTCCATTGGCCACAGGTCGCTTCAAATTGCCTCTGACTCCTTGACGGCATTAATTCAATTAAATGCGTAGTGTACTTACTCGAACTAAACGGTTCTTTCAGTGTTGATGTTTTCTCGACAAAATCAAAAACATGCATGAATTAGGCATTGGGCACGAAGCTTGTCCTGTTCGTCATGACGCGCGCTTCCTGTCTCCCGTTGAAAAAGGGAGCGTTTAGTTTCTCGACCAACCGCGTGTTCACTTTGCTTGAAAACGACGGAAGCGACAGCAGCGTAACTCTTCAGCATCTAGGAGAAAGCTTCTCTGAACCATCTTTAACGAAAGCGCGGTCCAGCGTCAAGAAAGCGAGGGTATGTAAACGAGCCTGGCCTTATTTTATTTGATCAGCTCACTTGTATTTTGAATTACAACACATGAAAAGTGATAACACATTTCCATTAAAAAAAAGAAACTGAACGAATTCCACATGAAGAGAACTTCGTACCCAGCTTGACCTCGTATACATCATACGTTTAGTTGTTGATACTGATTGTTCGACATGAAGATTTCTTCATGAAACAGTGTGCGCCGACATGAGGCAATTTGTCGGTTATGAAACTTTTATGACATTTGTGTCCTAATTGTAACCTTACCAGATGTGTTATTATTATTATGATTTGCTTCTATCTTTGTTCTTTAGAGATTCGACCTTCTCTTGTATTATACTTTCTAATTTATTCATAACTCGGGTAATTTTTTGAAGTGAGTGCCGTGGTCGCAAAAGCTTCTCCTTCTTTTACAAGCTCACTGGTCTACCATCGACGGCACGTGAATCAACCTTGGTTTTAATATCTTTCAGGGTAATTTCGCTGTTTAGTTGTTGTTAAAGTCTGACTTTTGCTAATGACGCAAACATAAAAAACTTAAACATTGAAAATGCAAGCACGGAAATCGAATGTTTTGATTGTTAAGAACGAACCAAGTTTCTTGACATTGGCACTTGTGTCGCTCGAAGGAATAATGAAACATATATCTTGACCTTTCAAGAAATCAAATTAAGACATTTCTAACGTTTGAAGGTTTCTTTTTTCCCGACGTGTACCAGACACCCGATTTGAGAGAGAACCAGTTTGGAATGAGTTTCAAAATAAGGAAAGGAAAACACTTTTTCAAATGTACGTTTTCAAATAAAAAAAAATGAATTTTTTTTTTCAAACAAATAACAGCGCGAATAATCATAAGTTTAGCTAGATTTTTCTTCAATTAGGAAACTTTATCTCCACTTACATCCATCAACTTAGACATGTTGTGAGCGTGATGAAGATATCCTTCCCTTGTCAACTTTTAATGGACAGTAATTTAAATAAGCAAAAAAACAAAAATTAAACGTAAAAAATTCGATTATTCCATAGTTTTTCACTTGATTTTGTGTCGCTTCTAGATCGTTTTCCAGCGGAAGATACACCACGAGAGGGGTAGCCTTTGACGGAAATTTTTAATTGATTATTTTTGCGGTTTGATTTATTAACGACGGTTAACCATAATATCTGATGAAAATGAAAAGACAAGAAAATGAATTTCCCTGGGTGGCATAAAACTTCAAATAGCTGATCAGAAGGAGTGATGTAAGATGGCATTCAGAAAAAAGTCTTCAATAAGACTCGGCAATAAGGGTTTGGATCCTTTTTATGAGGCAAGTATCGCGAAATGAAAGCATACTGAAAGATTAGTGGCAGGCCAAAGAGGATTTAAGGAAAGAAAAGAAAATTAACAGTAGAAGATTAAGTTGCAGACATGTTAATCTATGTCGTTGTTGAAGCTCCTTAAGAAACAGTGGTATGTGTTTGATGCATAACTTGTTTCAAACACTCTCCCGTAAACGAAAGTCACTTTAGGAATATTCCTAAACCTTTTGGCGTTTGTCGTTTAGGGGTCGATGAGTTCATCGAGCGAGATCTCTTTCCCACCTTACGAAGTCGTTCCTGCTACTCGGCCTATCATCGTCATCGGGCCTTCGCTCCGAGGATACGAGGTAAGTGTGTATACTGCCTTCGAATTAAAACGGGGTGTCCGAACTTTCGCGACGAAAATTGACGAAAGCACAAAAAGACCTAACACACTAGGCTGCGATTTAAAAGGACACACGCATCACGGTGCTCTGTCTGATACTATGGTTCTGCTGCCGCCTCAAATGGCCTTTCTTTTTCCTGTCAAATTTAGAGCACTTGTAATGAGGTTTCCATCAGCTTGCCATGACCTTTGAATGTGGCACTTTTGTGGTACAGTGTTTTGGGAAGCACTTTTGTGATCTTTCTGGGTCGCAAGACCCAGCATCACTTTGTCAAGAAAATGCAAAAGCTGTCGTAGCTTTAGTGCGCATTTTATGTAGGCGGCAAAAACATGTTATTTCTCACGAGTTAAACTTAAGGTTAATCAACCTTTAAGGTTATCAACCTTTAAGGTGGACTTTGAGACAATACCTAGGGCATAAGTCAGAAAATTAGAAAACTGGATTTTACCTGAAAATAATCCGGTAGAGTTGGCCTAAAAGCCCATGACTCAATTGTATTCAGGGAGCTTCCACATACTTAAACACCGATTTAGGCGATGTTCTTTACTATTACGTAATATTTTTCTTGGAAATAAAAAAAATACAAGTTAACATGTTTACTTCTGTCACTTTTACAGGTTACTGATCTTATGCATAGAGCTCTCTACAACTTTTTGAAGAAGAGATTTAGTGGAAAGTAAGTCAATAATTTGCCAAACCAAATTATCGTAACTAAGTTACCAGGAAATGTGTAACGGTTAGAGTTAGGAGAGAGTTAACAATCAGATCTTAGGAGATGAAATTTTAAATGGCTGCCACCTTCTTAAGTGGCAACTGTGGCGTTGAACTACTTTCTTGGATATTTTCCGAGGAATTTCACTGTCAAATTGCGATCAACATTTCATTTAACTTAAGACGCCTTTCGGGAAAATGACACTGGAAATGCTCAGTGGTAGCATTTTAGATTTTAAAACATCAGTCTTACAAATAGAATCACCACCAGGTTTGGTTCTGTTTTGTTCATTTAAAATGAAACAACAATCAAATAAAAACAAACACAACAACAAGCTTTGATTCTATTAGCCTCTCATACTATGAAACTTTTCTGAGCTGTTGCGGAACAAATTTGAAAACCAATAAAATTACTAACATATCACTTGTTTTTACAGAATATCAGTGTATAGAACTCATGCAGACATTGGTTTGTCAAAGCGATCAAAGAATAATCCCTCAGAGAAAGAAAGATTTAATATCACAAAGACAGGAGGTCCACGAATGACAGGTAAATTTACCAGAACAACTCGTGAAGGGAAAGTTAAAAAGTACCATACTTCAATAAAGTAAAATGAAGTTGATACCCTCGTGAAATGCGGTTATGTTCTTAAACCTATCTCGCTACCATACGTTTGTTAAAATAATCGCTCAAAGCAAGCTCCTTTTCAAAATTTCAACAGCCGAAGTGCAGAAAGAAGTAGAGCGTATATATGAATTAACAAAGGGTCTTAACATGGTTGTGATCGACTGCGATGCCATCAATCATCCGTCCCAGCTATTGGACTGCTCGCTGGCGCCAATCGCTGTATACATCAAAATGGAACCACAGATTCTGGAAAAACTTGTCAAGCTACGCGGATCTAAACGAAAAAACCTTGGTGCTCAAGTCGTTGCTGCTCAGAAGTTGGCACAGTGTAACGAGGTGAGACAGATTTTAGTTGCCTCAAAACAGTTTTCAGCTCTTTCTTTTTTTCTTTCTCTCACTGTACTACGATGACGGTGTGCAAAGTAATTCTCCACAACAGGTTGAGGGAATATGTAGGTGGCTGAAAGGCTTCTTCATATTTGAGTACGCTAGCTGTAGAAAGGATATAACTTGCTTAAACGTTCCTAACGCTATGACTCTAAGAGTGACTAGCATCCAGTTTCTCCTTATAATATAACCCCTGAATCAAATGTTAAGGTCACAGGAATAAAGCAAATGATCACCAACTAAAGAAGATCTTGGTTGTTAAACAAAGTCTCCTTGTTTACAACTTAGAAAATGTGTGAAGAACAGCATGGAGAATATCCATACTGACGTTGGGGTGTAAAGGATTAATGATAGGTGCCTATGACTCAAACCTTCAATCTACCACTCTGATTTTCACTATCAAGTAATGATATGCTTTCTTAAGATACATCTTTCGTAAACTTAACAAAACTGTGCGAAGGGGTTTCAAGTCACCTACAATTTCTTAAAATATTAATGTAGCTCTAGACGTTACCAGTGTGTATTTGCATTAATTCTTTTCATATTTCATGCAGGAAATGTTTGACTTGGTTCTTGATGAGGCCATCTTTGAGGACGCTTGCGAGCACCTAGGGGAGTTTTTAGACCAGTATTGGAGGGACCTGCACCCGAATGATTGTGAGGACGGAGCAGCGTCTTTATCAGAGAAGATGCCTCTGCTCCAGGGACCCAGTCGAGTTCCTGCTTTAAAGGTACCCATCTAAATCGCATGACACATATCACAACCGCTCTTAAGGGTCCCTGGGGGCCTATTAATTTCCAGGGCGTGGAGCTTAACGAGCTGGAAATTGGGTTGGGGGGCTCAATAAAGAAGGTAGGCTGTTTCCAAGTCTCTAAGCACGTGGAACAACATTATGCCAAAGCCGCTTTCCATTAAAACACAAAGGTGCTCTTCTAGGATCAAATGTCGTTGACACTTTCTTTCATGCGCTCAAACAGCTTTCTCGAAATGTTTAACAAACAAGAATGATCCTTACTCGGAAACGTTTGCTAGAGGATATCTTATTCACTCGCAAACAGTCAAAAACACTCGCATTTTGTGGATACGCGGGCGCTGATTTCGAGTCCTGGTTTTAGGCCTAAATTCCGTGATAAGGGCGCTTTTCGACTGAGTGTCGTAACACCAAAACCAAAGTTATCACGACGACCAATCAGAAGAAAGGAAAACTTTCTTAAGAACCAATGAGAACTCAAACTAAAATCCAGCAAATTTCCCAAAGCGCAGGAAAATGCAAGAAACCACGTCGCGACTGGATTTAATCTTGCGTCGTTAACTTACAATCTATGTTTCAGGGCGCACAGGGTTTAGCCAAAAGCCAGCAAGGACAGTCACCTCTACAGAGTGTCGCTGGTGGAAAACAAGGCTCTCCATTGAAAGGTGCACAGCAACAAGGTGGACAGAGGGAGAGACAAGGCACCAGTGGCTCTCAAACAAACCAAAGGAAAATAGCGGTGAGTGGCAATGCGCCAGATTTTGGTAAGAAACTCCATGAAGCTTTCCAGAGTTCGCAGTCTCATAAAACCTCTGAGCCCGAGTATCAATCAAGTTACGGTCAAGAACCACCCTACGATCAACATCAACAACTTCAGCAACAGTACTATGGCCAGGGGGAGCATTACGAGCAGGAGCAACATTATGGGTCGGAAATGTACGGGCACCAACAAGGTTACACTACTGAACCCTATCACCAGGGGTACCAACAGCAGTATAGTCATGACGGCCATTACGGCTATGAACAATATGGGCAGGACCCTAATCAGGGGTACTCTCACGGGTATGAGAACCAGTACCCTGACTCCTATTACAACAGGGATGTCAGTATGGGGTACCAACAGCAATACAGACATGAAATGGATAGTCCTTATCAACAACAACAACAACAACAACAGCAAGAGTGGTATGGTGACTCAAGCAACTATTACGGAGGAGATGGCTACTATCAGTAATATATTATTGTAGAACAGTGTCAGATCAACAGCGAACACTCTCAATTTAACCACTGAATTAAAATTTGATAGCCTACCGAGCTATTTGTAGAGAATTTGCAATACCTGAAACCAATTCAAGGACAATACTTTCGAGACTTTCTTGATCAAAATTGCAAGTTTTGTATTTGCTTCAGCATGATCTTTTCTTATCATGCACAGCAGTCTCGTGTTTCTCACGTGATGCAAAATGAGATGACACTTGCATGCTTTATAGCACTTAATTGACGGCATGAAATCACACTTGACAAAGTTATAGCAGGACAGTTTATAAAATCAATGTTGATGGCATTTCCATCAAAGCAGAGAACTTGTTTAGCTGCCAAAATATGCTTGCTAAAGAGTTGTCTTAGCTACTCTGGGAGAACTTCACAAATGTATACAATGTATGACTTGATTATCCCAAGAAAAGAAAGAAGTTCACTGTTTTGATCACATTTTAGACTAGTTATCTCAAACTTAAATCCCAATAACTAGGATGAAAACCATGGACAAGTCATTTTTGACTTGCTACACACAGTAAATTTTGTTAGCTCTAGCTGGTCTTATTTATGTGTAACTAACCTAGAATGAATTAATCCCTATAAAACTATGCTGAGCCAAACTCTCTTATCACAAAATAGGGTTGTAAAAAATATTAGAAGAGTAGGCAGCACTACAGGTTGAAGGTCTCTCTACAGGCATGTGCTTTGGGAGCTGCAAGACCTCAAAGAATTCAGAATGGCTGGCTCATTTTTCAGAGTAGACCATGAAGTACACTGGTTGCCCTATTATTTCAACAACCGTGAAAGAGTAATCTGTAGTGTTAAATAGCCAAAAATATTCAGGAGATTTTTGAATGTATAGAACTTACAATTTGAACTGAAGAGTAAGGACCAGTGCACTGCTACAGATGAAAACCCTATTCTGTCTGACTTAAAAAAATCAGAATTTTAGTTTACTGAATAAAAATCAATGGCCAGTCTCACACTGCAACATTTTTTTCAATCATTTGCTTTGAACAATTGAGTAGGATGGATCATACAACAAATAATGTTGTCCCATTAATTTTGTTAAATAGCTTTATAAAATAAAATTTTGTATTTCAAAAATAAATTCTTGCATTTTATTTAAACATTTAACTGCTGTCGGATATAAACAACAGTTGCCCACCTTTATATCAAGCAGATACCCCAGATGAGAAATGGAAAAAAAAAAGGTAAAACAAGTTCTTGAAGATATATGTACCAGGAAATTACTAGTTCAATAATTATCAAAAAATTATCTCAGGATACCAGATCTTACAAATGGAAGGTTTACATGACATGGGAAAAGGGCAACCACTTAAAACCCCTCAATCAGATCAGTCATCCAAGACATGAGGAACAAACCAGAGATTGAAAAGGCTTTCTTGGTCAGGGTAAGGAGCATCATAATCCAAAATTTTTCAACTTACTCTATGCTTCCACATGCATAGGAGTGTGAAAATAAATCAACCCTTTACTCCCTAACATCAGTATGCATATTCTCCATAATGATCTCTATACATTTTCTAAGGTGTTGACACAGAGAGTTTGTCCAATTGGTGATCATTTCCTTTATTCTAATGACCTTAATAAGTGATTCGGGGGTGATATTGTCAGGAGAAATTAGATGCTAGTCACTATTAGGAGTCAAAGGGTTAAGAGAAACCAAAGTTTTCAGAGTTTTGTACATGGGCACGATACAGCTTTGAAATTGATGATCTAGGCATGAAGAGAAAAACGTGATCAGTTGAACATTGATCAGGCGTGGTAAATACTGTGGAATAATTTGTCTGGTGGTTCACGATGGTATTCGACGATCAGTGTTCTTCGAGGGATCACTTCAGGGGTTACAGAGCCCAGTCACATGCACAGACTAATTACAATCGAAATCCTAGTTAACAAATCTAAAACCTAATTACCAGTGGTTGTTTGCTAATTAATGCATATAATAAACCGAACAGTCACACCTACCTTCACCTGGACATCGATATCACTGAAAATCTCTCATTCTGCTGGTAGCTAATTACTGTCCATTCCAACCCTTGTTGTCGCAGCCATATTGAGAACATTTCCATCATCTCTATCAACCTCTGTAAAACTCTCGGGCTGCCGTTCAAGTTAAATTGAACTCTCTGTGTGGATTCCTTTATTTATGGATGAGAAGTACTTGATTTGGAAGACCATAATGCACGAAAAATCAGCTAACTCGGAAGCCATATTTATTTCTCCCGCCACAATTACACAACACATCCCATAACACAAATAACATACCGCTGGGCAGCGGAATTGACAGGACTTTAAAATGACCACTCGATCGTGTGGAGACTGGTAGCTAGAATTTAGTTGTGGCATGGCATGACAGCGGCGACTATCAGGGAATATTGGGTTGAAGTAGGCCACTCAAAACGCAATTTTATTTCTTCATTAGGACTCACTGGGACATTTGCGTCAATCAGAGTGCGCTAACGAATGGATAACAATATCAGTAGCACCTATCCTTTACTCTCTTCATTACTAACTTTAAGCCTCAAATTCCCATGTTAACAATTTTTTGCTCGTTACTTCTTCAAGAACAAATTGGATCAATTTTGGGAGGGGGAATATTGATTTGGCTATTGGACCTCAGCCTTTTCGGGAGGTTCTGTTCTCAGCAAACCAAATTGCCACATCGTTCAAGCCAATTTTCTCAAATAATTCCACTCTGGGTGATCGTAAACGTAAACGTATTTCTGAAGAGGATGGAAGACCAACATTGAAAATTAAACGAGCGCCCTTTGAGGTTTTATACTCATGGAAATACACTCAACTGCAAGTAAGCATTCGTGCTTTATTTATTTATTACTAAACCTACTCACTATGTTTTCACATTTGTAACAATCAGTTATTTAACCATCTAATTTTCTTCATACAGGAAATAAGAGCGTTTCACCAACAGCGTCCTAAAAACTTATACTGGAGGCCCTTTTTTCAAGAAAAACACGTTGTATCAACCTAAAATACGCGAGGCGACCTAACGCTGTTCTTGCGGCCACTAATTGAAACAAGCTGCCATTTTATCTTAAATAAAAATGTGTCCATATCATCGACCATTTATTTTTACGTTGTTGTGAAGTCAAACAACGCTAAAAGGAATCGAAACATGTCACCTTGAAGCTATCATCAATCTCGGAAACAATACATTAGATGCTTTAACTAAATACTCAGCTAATCTCTAATTCCTGACAGAAACAGAAGCGCAACTAAAAACGGTTCCAAAACTTTAGTCATTTGATAATCGGAGATTAAATTGAAAGGTACGTAAAAGTCACGCAGCAGTCCAATGAAGAGGGTGCTTTCTCTGGAGTGTTTGGTGTGCACGAGCAAGGCTCGTCACAAAGTGATGAATCGTACTTTACAAGACAAAGTTCCAGTATACCGGTGATAAAATAAACGGTAATCAGTAATCAATGAAAAGAAGCATTAAGAGTTGAGCCATCTTGACAATTATTTAACCCAAGCCATAACCCTGACACTGGATGGCTTGGAGGAGTTTTCTCTTCAAGATTTTCTTCGAAGGGTACAACGGTATGCTCATCCGCTGACCACAAGTAGTTGCCATGGGTAACGCCTTGGTATTTCCACTGATGACATCCACAGTGATGTTAAGGTCTGAAAATACGAAAATTGTCTCTTCAGGGACACCATTTCCATATCACACTATAGTATTAAACAAGTGAGCCTCCACTTTTTATGGCCACATCTAAACAGTCTTGAAATAAAAATCCTTAAGAAGGTTCTTTTTAATCGCAGCCTCAGCTTGGGAAATATCATAAGTGAGAACACTCGGGTTAACCCTTTAACCCCTAAGGATGACTGGCATCTAAATTCTCCTTACAATATCACTCCTGAATAAAGCATTAAGGTCATGGGAATAAGGGAAATGATCAACAACTGAAGAAGCTCTTGATTGTTTTAACAAATTCTCCTTTTCAGAACCTTAAGAAATGTATAGTGAAAGTATGGAGAATATGCATACTGATGTTAGGGTGTAAAGGGTTAAGAAGGACTGGCCCATCATAATGCGCTCCTGGTTTAAGATACTGCTAAATAACACTGGATAGCTTGATTAAAAAGGAATGACACGACTGTCTGGGATCATTTTCCTGTGATCGGATTGGAAAAAAGAATTGGGAAGCCGGTCCAAGGGTGCCTCATTTTGAATGACAGATTAAGTCGGTCAATTTCGACCTGAATTCATCTGAAAAACACTTTTTCGAGAAGATCTTCTTCTCTCCGTCTCTTTCAATGGATAGAACGTATTTTTCTGTCTAAATATAGCGACCCAAACTTAGATAAGACAAGAAAAATTCCCATCACTGAAAGAGAGAACACCATACCTTGTTCCGGGTCTCTTCTGTCGGACAGAGCTGGGAGAACCGCACTCCCTGTGCAGAAGTAAAGCAGCTGCTGTCGTTGAAGAGGAGTCATTTTTTGGACAATGGACCAGAACCACCTTAATAGGGTGGAAAGATCATCATCAATATTTAAATTCTCGTTGCCTTATGGGTGGAATTTGTTCACTACAGGCTGAGGGAATTGGTTTCTGGTCAAGACCCTACATTCGATCAGATGAGATAAGATCCGAGAGGTCTTCCACAGTCTCTTCAGCAATGTGGAGAACAAAGGAGCTAGTCCATAATTAGACCACTTTTCATAAATATCGTGGATTCTCTGAAAGCTCCAGGTGGACATGGGGCTTAATAGAGAGGGGACTACTCAGAGTGGAGGGGGGGGGGGGGCTTATCAGAAGGGAGCGTATTAGAGGGGATGGCTTATCTTGTCAAATGGAGACGCTTCAGAGGGGGGGGGGGCGCACTATTCTTGTAAAATGGAGGACTCTTCTGAGGGAGGGGCTTACCAAAGGGAACGTATCATGAGGGATATCAGATGGGGGCTTATCAGAGGGGCTTAGCAAAGACGGGCTTATCACAGAAGGCTTATTAAGGGAGAGATATCAGAATAAGATTTATCAGATGGGTATATCCGAGGGGGTCTTATCAGAGGGGGTTATCATAGTGGGTATGAAAAGGGGCTTATCAAAGGGAACTCATCAAAAGGGGAACTCATTATAGGGGAAATCATCCAAGGGATGCTTTCGCATCTTGTGAGAGCGCTTACGGGTAAAAAAATTTCCTCCTACAACTCAAGATAATCACGTCACCACTCTTTACAATTTTGTACATAGTCAAGAAAACAAGAGAGAGATCTTTTCTTGAAATAACAAATTCTCAAGACTAAGCTAGCGGTTATGTAGGACGGCCACTAAGTAGAATAAGGAATCAGCTGTTGGTCTAATGTTACCTACCGTTTAAATCTGTCGAGGATATCGGTGGAACAGCCATTGCTGTTACTGAACGTCATCACAGAGCGAAGACGGTTGATGTCGACATCTGTCGTTCCTCCTGACAGTAAGAGCTGAAAATCCTACAAAGGAAAGGAGAAAAAAAGAACCACGAGTGTGAATCTGGACGGGAAAAATTAGAGGGTAGAATCTAAGTTTCACCTCACGTAGCAAACATGACAGTATTAAACGACTGCTGGTCACATAACTGGTGGCTTACCTCTGGTGTAAGAGATGTCAGGAGTTCAGAAGGAATGACGTCATTTAGTCCGCTCCTCATAGCTCGTAATTCGTTTTCTACGCAGCCGATCATCACCTTGCTAGCATAAAGTCTAAACAAAGAAACGACGGTCAAATTATCAACAATAATAAAAATGATGATATTCATAATCATAAAAAATAGAACATCAAGAGCTTTTCGCTTTCACAAAAATTCTGCATTGGGAAATCTTGATTCAAAGTCCTTTGATATTTTCAAATCATTGCACGCCTTCTAAATAATATATTTAGAAACCGTTTTAAACCAATAACAACCTGATCCTCTCACGTAAATCAAATTCTAACAACAATACTGAGAGTAACATATATACTTGTTGGTAGAACTGGTTGTGAAAGGACTTTCGAACTTCTTTCTTACTAGGACCCCAACGGTGTCTCTGTCAATACGTGCGTTCGGAAACCCACGTCCCCCCCCCCATCCCCCTGCCCACACTTATATCAAAATTACTATTGTCACAGTAGCATCGTCTAAACTTTCTATTAAAGCATGTTAACATATTAGTGACATCGATGCGTCAACCAATTCAGATAAACATGCGTCTCCCGTTCAGACAGTAAGTTTACCACATTACCTGACGTATTTGAAGATATTGTCAGGCGTCACGGGAATCTGCGAACCTCCAGGTACGAGTTCTTCTGTTGTCCCGCCCACTGACGTCTGTAAGTACAAAATAATAACTAAGCTGTTTTCTTACCTATCGACGACATAGGTGTCTGTAGAAATAAATATACACTCTAAGCTTCTAGAACAATGGTCTGTAACATCACCATTCGATGACGGGGGCAAGTTCGTCGAGGTTGGTGCAAACTTAAAGGGGCGAAACTTCTGGCTACTGTAACATCAATGTACTGTTTAAACTCGTACCTCAAAATGGCAGCAGTATGTGGCCTGAAAGCGTTCTGAGGTCATCAGAGGGTGAGTGGTGTCTAGAATCATACGACTGAGTCCCTCAAATAGGTCAGCATTGAAAAACGCCAGGTCCTCCCAAGTTACATCTCTAAATAACAAAGAAAACAACAACAACAATATTAACAAAATATTGTGATCTGTTCGATTGTTGCTGCGACTGGTGTTGGAAGTCTCTGTCGGCGGTTGGGAACTTCTAACCTTTTTCACGAACGCAGTCCCAATATCAAAGTAGTCCTAACATCAAAGCAGGCATAAAAACTGATGATTTCACATTTCGATATATCAACGCAGACCTTCATCAGGTTTAACAGACTCACCAGGCTGTCAATTTTGTAATTTTTGGTAAGCTTGAAGCGCCCCTCAATGATAAAGTTACGTTATTTAAGTTCTTTCCAACAACGGTACCTTTCTAGTAGAAATTTAACCACGTGGCGGCTAAAGTTCAGTGGTACGGTGTTACTGAACCAAAGACTCAAACCAATGAATCGGCCAATGGCAGTGAACATCTTCAGGCGACGATTCTGAAACAAATAAAAGCGAGATAAATTCACAGGTTACCGACGTTCTGTGTCGAAGCGGGTTACTCTTAGTTTCCCACTCTCCTCAGGAGTACATGAAGAATCAAAGAATTGCGAAGCAAACCTAGCAAAAATCTTTAAATGCTAAAGTAATTGAGAAGCTGAGTAAAACAGGGGTATTTGACAAAGTCCTTAAATTTTATAGGTTTTCGTATAGGTTGGAGTTTGTAAAAATATCACAATGGCCAATGAGGACTCAAAGAGTGAAAATAAAGAGATAAAAAGACAGCCTTAAGCACGAGCAAACGCCAGTCACCAAGTTACGATTGATTTTAGTTCTGCATTTAATCACAGTGGCTAAACTGTAAAGTGGTACGTGTTTTCTCAGTAGTCCTATCACAAAGCAAGACCAACGCAATTCCAAGCAACGTTGAAACTCGATTAATATTGCTCAATTCGGCAGGCTTGACCAAAAACAAACAAGGACGTAGCTTTGTACCTCAATTCACTTCTTCAACCTTGTTCCCAGAAAACGAAGAGATAGGAGACTTGAGAAGAGGTTAATCACGTCTCCTGTTTCTTTGCGCGCGCCTAGCGGCTGTGCCATCTACTTAACAAAACTTCAGCTATGCGAAGTGGATTTTTTGCAGACACATGGCTCAATCAAGCAAGACTGAACTATCGTGATAAAATTAACCTAGAACAAGTTTGCTGCATGGAGCACGTACATATACGTCTTGAATTGGGTGGAAAACGTGTAGCCAAACATGTATCAGAATTCAAAGAAATCTCATTTTAACATTCCACATAATTACCTTGATATTGTTTTCCTCTGGGGAGTTGTCAGAATACGCAAACGGTTTAGGAGCATAGAACCCGCTTTGCTCCGGCAGTTTCCCTGGCTCATGAAGTAAAGTCGTGGTTTCAACTGGAAGCTAGAAAATGGGAAATGTGTCAAGCATAAGAGACTTGTGTGCCTCAGCGTTCGCAATCCATCGTTTTAATGTAATCTGCGACTCAGCTTAACTACAGCGACTTTAGACTCAACTACAGCGACGAGCATGACAAATACACGGAACCAGTGGGCGCGCACGAACGTACATTTGGCGGGATGAGAGAAAAATGACTTCAAAGTCATGGAAAGAGTTTTAGCAAAAATGGCATTCTGGAAAAACAAGATTTCAACGCGTAACCGATCTTTCAATCACGAAAGATCCGCCAATTTCATCCGATATACTGTCGAAACGTCGAAATCCACATCGGAAAAGACTACATTGTAAGACAAACGAAGAATAAGAACAACGTTTTTTCCAACGTAGTTACCTTTTCGTCCGTTTTTAGGGCATTCGCCATGGCAGCAAAGAATCCCCGGTTCACACCCGGCCCAGAGCCCTCCTCTCCCTCGAACTTGACTCGTAGGTTGCTATAGTGAAATGTGGACATCTACAGAAGGAAAAAACAAGGAGATTTTAGTACTGCATCTAAGAGTACCTTGAATCACAAAATTGCTGCCCTAAATAATCTTTAATGATAAATTACGGGAAAACAACAAGGGGCAAATAACGATAATAATTACCTCGCCGAGTATTCTAAGGGTATTCTCCTGTATCTTCTGTCTTTTGACTGCCAGAGTCAGAGTTGTGCTAACTCTCGCACCCAGTCCTCCATACGATCCAAGCTGCTGCGATTCGCTTGTGATAGATTCACGGAGATAGGAAGCAGCTCGGCGGAACCTGGGCAACAAAAGCATAATGGAGTTAGTTTATTCAATGATCGAAAAGATGAGTTCATCTTTTAGAAGAAAAGCCATAAGCGCATACGTACCTTGCTAATCTTCCCGCCACACCAGCGCGTGCCGCCAAGAAACTTTCTCGTTCAGCCCCAGGCCCATCTGCCAGAAACAGGCGGGAAAACAAATCCACAGAGATCTTCCATCTGCCTATCACATGATCAGGTGACCAATTTGTCACTAAGGGAGAGGGGTAGGTGTGCCTGCCGAAATATAAACAACAAATTAGAATCACTTAAGGCTTGGTTTTCCCTTTGAAGTTCGGGGAATTAGTTTTAATTTTATATTTGGTTGGTTGCGAAAGTGGCGCGAGATTTCTGGGCAAATCACTATGCTAAGTGAAGAAAAATCAATGTAGTCCAGGATCTTTTCTTAGCAATTAATATATTATCGTAAAGGCAAAGAGTTCTATATGTTTCGACGAGAACATGGAAAACTAGGTCTGGTAAAGAAAGTCGAGACTTACATGTACTTAAAACTAACCTATCCGAAAGAAAAACATTGAAGCGTTAAACTCGTTAACGAAGTCCCACACGAAGTAACGCTCCTGTTCTGGTAAGAGCCTCAGCCACTAAAGAAAACCAAACTAAACAAGTTCAACACCAAAAGACAGTTAACTTTTTAAAAAAACCTATTTCACGCGATGGACTCGAAGCCAGTCTTTCTATCTCGCGTGGAACGTGGACAATTAATGCAAACAGTACTTACGATCCCATGGCACTAAACGTTGTCGGTAGTCCGCTTTCCTCGTCACTTTCCTTTTGCGACGCTAGATTTGGGTCTTCAGACTTCTGACGGGCCATGGTCACATTATGAGTGAAAACTTCCCAAGATGCTTTGGGTACCTTGGGAAACTTCTGTTGAATGGTATCTTGAAGACTGGTCAGAAACTTCTCTCTGTCACCCTGTATAACGTCCATACCAAAGAACTTTATAATAGCTTCTCGTTCATGGCTGTGACGCCGCCACCGCTTTGATTCTGTGGTAGGTGAGGGCTTAGTTTCCGGGCTTGAGGATCCATCTTCGGGCTGTGAAGGCTGAGAGAAACTGAGGCTAGAGTCGTCTCCATCGTTGCTTGTCGTGGAAATTCTTCGGTTGAGGGTTGAAGCCAGTCGAGGCCAGTGCGTCATGGAGTAAATGAATGCGTCCAGAACATACACAGCGTGCTCATAACTAAGAAATTAAGTAAGATGATATTTACCAAGTAGACAGCCACGGGACCCTCGAGAAAGGTTTACTAAATAACACAACAAGCCCCGACTGTTGGAAGGGCGGATAACACTTTCCACGGACGAATCTCTAGCACATGGATAGCGCAGTACGTTTTCTTAACACCTATCTGCTGGTTAGCTATTTATCCACTGGGTAGCTTGATGCGCCCTTCGAACAACTGGGTCAAGAAGAATTTTTCTTTAATACCAACCCCCCAGTAAAACTTACCATATAAAACTTACAATAACACTCACCAAAGCAATAAAACTTACCATAGCAGTAAAACTCAACAAAGCAGTAAAACTTAACAAAGCGATGAAACTTACCAGAGCATATCCACAACAGGGAGTGAGTCCTTGTGTTCATTATTATGAGCCCTCAGCAGGAACATCAAATATTCCTCAGGAGAGGCCCCTGGTATGGTCGACAAAGATCTTCCCAACATGGCCAGCTCAGTGTCTTCAGGCCGCTGAAGTGACGCTAGATACCGCTGGAGAAAAAAAAATATGCAAGGATCTTACAGAAGAAAGCAAATGTGATACGCCAAGACAGGAATAGGACTCATTAATATTATTTCCCTAAATTTGAAATAAGCTTCCTAGGCGCTGATTCGAGGATCACCCACTAATTTCAACTTAAGAAGCTTTGATCTTTAAACAAATCCTCCTTGTCAGTACCAAAGAAAATGAGTAAAGAAGTGTATAGAGAAAGTGGACATCGATGTTAGGGTATAAAGGGTCAAGAGAATGTAACGTAAGATTGTTAGTTGTAAAGTAAAGACCAACCTTGGTATCAAAATTTTTTCCCATCCGCAACTGACCCTCGACCACGTCAAGCACTCCAGCCAGCCACAGCCATGACTTCTCGAGAACGGACATAACATGGTCCTGAACGGACTGACGTTCCTCCTGGGTCGTAGTGAGAGAGGGCAGCATGGCACTACCCTCCTGAGTGGGGTGGGTGTCTTTAGTGAGAGTTGTCATGAGGTCCAAAGTCTCCTTCACCAGCCGCGAGAACATGCGAGTCAAGTAACAATTTCCAGTGTGGACGCTAGGAGGTGAAACGACGGGGGTCGCCCATTGTGGAATCTGTAAAGAAACAGTGGGATACCTCGAACATGTTACTTGCGAAAGTTCCCTCGGGAAGAGGGAAACTTGGGAAAAAACCAACAGAGAGAACAACAACAAGAGGAAAAACTTAACAAACAAAAACGACCACAACAGACATAATTGTACTCCAAAAATATCTTCAGAAACAGTAGATTCTCGACCATTTTAACGGTTTTAAGGCCATTTACGGTACAAGGACCATTTTTAGCTTTCATCATTTGAGACTCACGTGAATATGTCCGGGCAAGTTGTTTCCCTCATTCAAACTGGCAACGCGACCATCCAGGGCCCAAGCATAGGGGTGGTCATGGGTTATTCCTGTCGTCAAGGAAACAGACCGCTGATCTCGCTCGTCTAGTTCCATGTCGCTATCACCGTCGCCACTTAAAGCTCCAACGTGATCAGTTTCGTCAGCAGAGTCACTGTCACTGTCGACTAGGGAACTCTTTTTGCCATGCAGCCTGGAAACCTCATAAGAAGAGGCCCTGAAGGGGCTTGGAGCGCGCTTCTTGTTAGCGATCCCAGAAGGTCCTTCAGAGATGTTTGCTAGTCTGATACCGCGGCACACTGAGGAATTTTCTGTCACATTGGTTTGCGAAATCCTAATGTAGAACACATATTAAGTCACACACGCGTAGAAAAACTCTGAGGGAAACCAACGCGGGTATAGACTGCAAGAGCATCTAATGAAAAAGAGCCCCCTTCAAAATGCACTTGGCTTAGTGAGCCCTGTTTCTAATTAGCCCCCTCCCCCCCTCCCCCCACTTAAAACGTCCTCACCCTACTCTTCAATAAACGACTGGGTCTAGAGGAACAGACAAATAGTGACACCCCCCACCCCACCCCCTCCTTGGAAGTTTTGAGAGAGTTTATTCTGAATACATTATTCATACGTTTTACTGAAAAAATATCTAGAAAATTCCAGACGGAGTTGGATTTACAGCATTGAATTAAACATACCTCTGAGCTGTCCTAAGTGGTGGATCCTGTGGTCTGGTGCTTGAATCATGAGGACCACCCACTCGGATTCCTGCAATTTATAAATCAGGCCCAGTTTTCCCTAAAAGCTTTCGTAAAAACTTCTTTGGATTTTACATTACAGACTCACTGCATTCTCTCAGCAATACTTTACCTGGTCTAAATCGGAACCTCCCTCCCGGAAATCCTCCATTGGGGTTAGGAACATTGTTACTCACAGACGAACCAGTAGAACGAGCTTGAGGTTTAGCCACACCCTCGCGAACGGGAAGGACGGAGGCCTCAGCAGCCTGAGTCAGCTCGTGAACAGCTAGCCATGAAAACGAGCGAAGGATCATTCTACAATCATAACAGAATATGACGTTATCGATAACAAGACAAGTGAATGGTGAGAATACAGTGCAACAGGACTGCAAAAATAACTAACGTTTTGGTCACTTAACCATTTAACTTCCATAAGTGACCAAAACAGAATTTCTCCTTACAATATCAATACACTCCCTAGCAGGCAAGCTACGAGAATAAAGAACAATATCAATTAGTGGATTATTAGTTGACCCAATACCAATTTCTCCAAGCTGACATAATAAGAACTGTAACGGACAGCAAAGAGAAGGACTAATGAGATCTTGGGAGTTAAAGGTTAACTATACAGAGGACGACGTCCAAACACTCACAGTCACTTACACACACAAAACCTCTCGTAGTAGATAGGCACGTAACAAGTTGCAAAAGGAGTGTCCTTGTTTAGTTAGTGATAGAAGAAGAATCATCCAAGTCGTATTTTTAAATGCATTGAAAAAACTGTACTGAGGTGAAGTATCGAAAAACCAAAGCAATTCCAGAATACTATCGACGACATTCTGTTGAAGATTGCTCTTCATTCCTTACCTAACTTTCCTCTTAAATTCTACATTGTCCCCCTGACTGCTTCTGGTACTGGGCGTTGAAGGACTGGACCCAAGGCGAGTCCGGAGGTCGACGTAAGACAAGCCAGAGCGACTGAGATGAACAGCCAATTGACGAATAACAGACCTCAAGAACTTCATCCCCACCATAATGGCGACATCCGCAGGGCTTAGATCGCCTTGCAATTGGGCAATTCGATAAACAGCATCTAGCGTCATGTTTTGGGAATGCTTATTCATCTCATCAACAATCATCTCCACAAAAGTCATCAAAATGGCTTCATCAGAGTGAGAGAGCAACTCAAAGACAAACAAATCCAGGATGCAAGAATCTACCGGGTTGCATCGAGATGGACCTTTTGGAGGTGAGTCGTCGGAACCACAAGCCTCCTTCGTCATGTGCACATCTGAGTGCCCTGATGAAGCGCCAAAAGGGCAGTAACCCAGTATCGTTGACACCACGGAGGGCCAGCTTTGTATGAGTTGTATCAAAACTGGTAGACTGTCACCAGGGAGATCATCAGGAACAACTGTTGTATTGGGAGGAAATCCTATCAAGTCAATACTCCCTGCTGTATTTTCGCTTGCTACATCCATTGGTGTTTCGTTTCCACCTGATGTCGACTCGTTCCCAGGAAGCTTCTCCATATCCTTCTCGTCACCTGTCTGAGGAGTCTGCTGTTGCTGCCGCGGTTGTTCAGGCAGCTGACATCGCCTCTCCAAAGCCTGCAGTGTGTCCACGATGCTTCGGAAGCTGCTCGAGATATCATCGAGCTGTGCCAGAAGGTTAGTTTCCAGCATAGTGGTATCTGAAACGCCTGTGATATTGATTTCCGTCATTATTTCGTCTTCCTGTGGAGAGCGAGAGACTTCTTGCTGGGGTCTCTGTTCTCGCTTCACAGGGAACGCTGCGTCTTGACCAAGCAAGATGCTGCCGTATTTAGAGAGACGCTGCTTTTGATTTGCACTCAGTTTGACCCAGCGGGAATTGTTCACCAGGAAAGCCAGGGCTGTCTCGCCCTCTCTGTTTGTGGCTGTGGCAATCTGAAACATTGTGAGTCACGTTATAATGTAGTATGATGAGCCAAGAATACAAATCAGTGAAAACGCACTTCTCAACTAAAAGCAGCCAAGGGGAGCAGGTAAGTAAGCGCAATACAAATAGTAACCTACAGAGAACCGTCAATTCTCAGAACTTACGCGTTATGGAACGTTATGTGATAAGAACGGAGAATTAAAAATTCCGATCTTAGAAAAAGGAAGAGTTCCATGAAAATACACCTTGTCTTGCCGGCAAGGATATGTATCTCACATGGAGTAGAAGTAAACGTCACAAGATGAAGAAGATTCACCGTACAGCCATGGTTTATTTCGATATCGTTTGCCAATCACCCCCTTGCTAAAAATATACCTCTTCCCAATCCTCCTCATGCTGATGGAACAAACCAGTCCCTACCCGCAAAAATCTTGAAAATTGACAAAATGCTACCACTACTAACCTCTGGATATGGCAAAAGACGGCAAACAAGCTGGCATATTAATTTATCTTCTTCTTCCTAAAGACAAAAATGGAAGAATTCAGGACCAGTAACAACCTCGGTAACGCCATCTCCTAAGTATAGCAAAGGGGTTTTAAATTACTCTTACATAAAGTAGGTTTTAATCTGAGTTGGTATGCTTGAAACCATCTCGGATCACATTCGTTGAACATGTTACGCAAAGACGGTGCACACAATGGTATAAAAAATGTTTCAATATGTTAATTGTTTAATTCCAGTTACATGTAGTTTCCAAAGGAAACATTTCATTCACTACATACAGAACAAGATGAGGCACAACAATTATGAGTTATTATGGGCGGGTTGTTGAAATTCAGTCTAACATGGGCTTCGATTTTAGACCATGAATGGGCCAAGTGATTCTTTTTCTTGACTGGGATGTTTGAAGCAAAGCAGTGTCAGCCTTAAGTCATCTTGACACTGTTCACGCTCTAAAATCAACATTTACACAAAAATATGATCTAGAGCACGGTTTTACTAAACAGCTGAAAGTTGATGTAACAACCGACCGTTGAAATTCACATTTCAACTAGTCTTCGCAAAGCTGAATAACTTGAAGAGTAATATACACAGGCAAGAGGTTACATGAAGACTTGAGGCCTCGATAAAGAGGCAATTGATATTTATAATCATCATCATCATAAATATTATTATAACATTCTTGCCATGATTATTGTCATTATACTCAACCAATCATCATCAGAACTAAGATTACTACAACTATCATGATGATGATGATGATGATTATTATTGTTATTTTCATCATTCTTATCAATACCATCGTTATTACCGTCTTGCTGAGCATGTCACCACTGGTAGTTGCCTGTGACTTTGGACTTATCTTGGGTACTCCGTCAACATTGGACACATTGTACACTCCCCCTCTGACACCCACCTCCATCTCGTTCTTCTCTGACTCCTCGTTCTCTACCTGGAAATTAATCCGAAACTCAAATATTAGTTGCTTTAGTGAAATATCTTTGTGATAGTTTAGGTTACGATATGCAGGAAATAACCCTTTTTATTTCCCATCTCAGTTACAAAACGTGCTGTGATTCGTTGATTCAGCAAATTGTACTCTGCTGCGAGTTCCATTGGAATTCAAATCTGCTTTTGTTGCCGAAAACTCTGTTTCGGCTTCGGACACACAAATTTTTTGTTATCTTTAAACTGTCGTTTATGACCGGTGCTGAAGACTAAGCGATGATTTCAAATTGACTCGTGTTGCTTTCGATGTGCGTCAGTCATTCAAGTCATTACACGTCACTGAAAATTGTTTCCTGCACCAGTCAGATGCGCTGAAGACATCTAATGAAGACCTCTTTCTAAACGAGTTCGCGGTCTGTACTTTTTGATTTAAGAATCCTCGTTGATTCCTTAACTGACAGTGCAGAACTCGACCTCGAGGCCACCTGGTCAAGAAGAGATTTTGAATGTAAGGTAGAGCTAAGCTGGACGGAGTGATTTTCTTACAAATTGTCAACAACAAACCTCAGTGAGTTTGACATGCAGAACATGTTGCACCAAGCTGGCAAGTCCACCTTCGGGTGCGGTCATCTCACTGGACACCATGTGATGATCCATCTCCACCAGAGCTTGTCTCAGTTCTTTAGGATCAGAAAATGTCACCACTCCTAATTAAACAAAAAATTAACCAGGTGTTAAAAAAAGGCGCAACCGAAACATAGTTCTAGGCATCAGCGAGGGCTAGGAATTTGTGTTCAAATAATTCCTGCAGAAATATTGTTCAGTGGTCGAGGGGAAACGACAGGTATGAAAGAGAATGAAACCCTAAAAAAAGCATCACCTCCTAAGTTAATTTCAACTCAACACAACTAATCTCCCCGGAATAATGTGACATGTAATTAGCACGATAATTAAGGGTTCCCTTGGAGGACGAATTGAGGCTGTAGGAGTTGTCATCGACAGAAACATACTTCGTATTGACCTGCACGCGACTCTAGCGCACATCACTCCGCTGACCTAAGACGTCGGTTATGCAGGTTATCTGAAAATACCTCTCTTCACACACAGCAGTTGTTGCTGTTACTGCTTGGTTCTCTTTTTCCAATCCGTCATAAATAAAAAACCCACGAGTAACATCCCAGAAGCACCTATTCAATGTCTTTTTCGATGAGCATCTGGCCGATCATCGCATAAATAATCCCTCACCTGTTAAAGACTCTCGTCGACTGCTGACCACGGGAATCCGCGCTCCTCCATCGACATATCGCCTTGACCACGGATGTCCATTCCCACCAGACGTGGGTGGTGTTAGTAAGTTACCTCTCTTCATCTCAGAGGGCTTCTTCTTATGCGTCTTCTTCGCTTTTTTGGCTTGCAGTTTTTCAATTACCTTCTGCTTTGGGGTCTTCGTGCGATACAACTACAAAGAATACACAAGACTTAAAGTCCTGACAAGAACTGATCAGAAACTCTTCGGGAACTCATCGGGGGTCTGTCTTTTCTTCTCCTTTTGTGGGGGGCAGGGAGAGGAGGGAGGAAACTTTATTTTTATTTTTCTCCCGACCAGCGGATGATACTAGTATCTACTCGTCACCTTGCTTCTTGAAAATGTATTAAAATTCTCATCAGGAGCGGCAATTAATTTTACCTTCCTTCCCTCCATGTCTATAGGTGGTATGGTGGCTCTGTAAGCTGACGGATATCTGCTTTGAAACAACTTCAACAGAATCCTTGGCGTGTAACTGGAAGGCAGGTTAGTCACAGTCAAGCTGTTTCCCAGTCCACTGGGGGGAAGATTCTCTGTGCAGGCGACGGCGAGAGCATGAAGAGGCGTCATGCCGTTGAATGCTGCTGGGAATATCATTTCCTTCAAGGAGCAGTTGTCTACAGAATGCGAAAAATGTCACAAGTACAATAACATCATCTTTAATACTGTAAAACCCCTATTTTAAAAAAGCCCTCTAAGAGATTTCAATGACTTTTTCCATATGCGGCTGCAGATGATGTAATGGCCGGCTGTGCCCGGAAAAGGGGCTGTAAGGCGAAATCTAAACACGAACCTGCTCACAGACTAAACAGACGACGATAAGAGGCCTTATAGGCGGCATTTACCGGCTCGTGTCGAAACCTTTACCTCTATGATATACATCAGCCATTTATACTTCGGGTAGAGATAGGCAATATGAAAAGTATCTCTCGCCCAAGAACACAACAACACCCTCGTCAGAGTCACTTCTACCTACCTTTGTCTTTCTCCACAAAATCCAGAATGTACATAGCAGCCTTAAAGTTGTGGCACTGGATAGCTGTCATGAAAGGAGTATTCCCACAGGCATCTCGTTCTTTCAACTGAAATACAAAAACCAACGTTTCTCTAACATGCAGTATGGCAGGATGATTGACTACAGCGTTAATGCGCGCAAGCTCAAGGATTCGCTCACGCGTTTCCACCGACGGTGATTGTTGTAGTATGAACAGGAAGCATTCAATCTGCTATCCATTGTTGACAGGAAATAAATAACCATTTTGAAAGGTGTGGTTAATTCATGATCAAAACTAACCAGAAATTGACGGCCCCAGATTTACTTGTGGTCAAAATATACAATTTCCATGCGTACTCCCCATTTATCATTCAACACAATACTTGAATAAACAAAATGATTTTAGGAAAAAAACTTGAAATTATCGAAAATTATGACAATGAACAGGTCGTAGTTCGATCGAGTGTCGTGAAGACAAATTCAAAATAATCACAGTGCTCAGTCAGAGCAAAGAAAAATATCATTAGGAGCTAATGAGAACTTGAAGAAAGAAAAATAGGCAACTTGCCCAAAAGCGCGGGAAAACGCAGTGACAGGTCGCGATTGGTTTCATTTTTTAATCTGATTGGTTGAGAGGGTGGCAGGACTTTCATAGACAAATCAGAGAACGAAGTTAAGCAGAACCAATGCAATGTTGGATTACTTTTGCCGTTCAGTTGAAAGTTGCTGGAAAAGAGAAATGGCCTTACCATGGGCACAAATTCTTTGGCAAATACAGAATCATTCAGCAACATGTGCAATCCTCTCACATCTACTGACAGTTCACTACTGGTCTTGGAACCTACACTAATAGGCACAGTTGCCTCTGAAAAACAAACAAAAGTTACAACTTTAATAAAACGTAACAAACACAAGTTCGTTATTTCTTATAAAAGGTCAAGTTTAGCTTTGCACGTACCCTTACTGCTGTTCTTTATAACACTCTGGATTCCATCTCGGTCTTCAACAAATGTTGGATTGCTACAACAAATGTGCAACACATTTTGATTGGAGGTGGAATGCTGATGAAGCAGCTGTAAAACTCTCTTGCTGACTACAACAGTTTGTCCCACTGGCTCTCCGTGAACTTCACCGTGAGCGTCAGTGATGACAACCTTTTTGGACCCCTTTACAACGCTTTTATTTCCTTTTCCGATGTCTTTACTGCTGTTCAGCTGTTTGAGGAAGTCCAGTGCTTCTTGGATTCGATCCACCACGCCAGATTGCACAGCTGGTATAAGGCGTTGCTCTTGGAATGCTGTGAGAAAGATGGAAAATGGCGTTTAAGAACAAATTTCAAGATATACAGTAGGTGTGTCCTAATATAAGGAAGTATGGGTTCTTGACGAAGTTTTCTCATTCAAGTTTTCTACTGTAGATATTGCCCTAGTGTTTGGTTTGGTTCTGTTTGTTTTTTGATGGAGCAAGATGAAATCCACAAAAACACGAAATATCCCCAAACATCTTGACCGAACAACCTTGTTTTTTTAATGGAGCGCGTAGAAATCCACAAAAACGCGGAAACGAAAAACGTTAGTATCCCACTCATCCGCACAACCTTCGTCAACAAATGATTCATCAAAAGACCAAAAGATTGCGTCAAGGAATTCGAAAGTAAATTAATAAAATTTGCGATTTTTTCTTTGGCTAAACTGTCTTCAACACATGTTTTGCAATTTTTATGCTGTAAAAGCAACCAGAAACCTTGTTTCTTGAAAAAGGAAAGGTACCCAAAAATTACGGAGCTTCCGGTTCAACCGGAAACAACGATTCAATTCGTGGATATGACATTGCCAAACATAATTTAAAGTTTGATATTTTCATTTACGATTAAAGTTGTCACAAGAGACAGTGTTTTAGAAGAAATCGTCCGAAAAACAAGATGAAACCAACCTATAAATGCTATCAACACTCTTTCAGGCGAAGAATTGCCTTCTGAACTGTGACCTAATCGCGTCCCAAGACCAAAACTCTGAACAGGAGGAATTTCACCAACATTCGGATTTGACAACTTGGTCCCAAACGGCCTTGGGTATAGACAGCCGTTGACATCAGTCAACAGAACAATGTCATAATCACTTGAAGAGTGAAGCAAAGGAAATTTCTGGTTGGTACTATGGAAGTTACAGGGAAGAAGTCTGTTTAATGTTGATGATTCGATGTTGGGCTTCATCTGAAGCGAATGTGAAGTGTCGCTTTCATCATCGTCATCGTTCTCGTCACTACTTCTCCTTCTCTTCAGCCCAATGGTCGGCTTTGAAGAAGTGTCCGAAGGCACCAAAGATGCTGGCGCAAGGGCTCCTTCCTGGCTTTGGATGGCCTCAGCTTCCACCGTACAAGAACCATCATCAATACTCGAGGGTACATTAACATCTCCACTACACGTGTACACCTTACTACTGTCCACAACTTGTTCCATGGCTGGTCCCATAAAGAACGTTTTCTTATCTGAGAGACGCTGCACAACGAGAGAGATCCCTGTCGATGTGGCTGTCATGGCCACTGGTTTAAAACCAGAGAGAACATCTTTGCCTCCCGATCGGGGCGAGCTGCTGACAACACACTTTGGCGCATGTTGAATACAACCTCTATATAACGAACTTTTTGGTAATGGTTGAGTTAATGCGCTTCCCTCGGCACTCTCACTTGGTACAGGCTCCAGTTCGGATACTTTGAAGACGCGTAGTGACGATTCTGATGGTGACATCACGTTTGCAACCTTCACAATAACATGAGGGCCATCGATTGCCGCAACAGTTCCCAACAGTTTGTTTTCGCTTTCAAGAAAAATAACATCTTTGACCTCCCAGATTTCAAAGGCATTACTTGACACGTGTGAGAACTGCGCCTTCCTTCTTACACTCGTGTGAGGACTGGAGGATCTAGCAAAATCCTTTTGGCCGGAAATTAACTCTTCTTCAACAGCCTTCGCTCGAGAAGAATTCGCGGCTGGTATATCTGTGTCTGTTTGCACCGCTCCACTGTCCGCTTTGTCGCTAGACACACTTTTCTTGAAGAGTGGTTCAACCTTAATCTTTGTCACAACGGTGCTTGTTCCTTCTGGCGACTCATGACCAAGCAGACGCCCCACTATGGGTCCCCTGACCTCACAGTATTTGTAAACTAAAGCACCAGGGAACCCAGGAAAATGCTGACGAAGCTGAACTTTCTCATTGACACTAATATTGCTTGATTGATTTGTTGCCTTGCTTAACTTCTGCCTGAAGTTTTGGCGTTCTTCTGCTGGTAACAATCCCCTAAGAGAGAAAGCAAGAAAAGTAAACAAGAGTGACTTGAATAAACAATTGAACACTGAACAAGGCTTCTTCACAAGTTTGCTTCAACATTATTAACAGTCATTAACCAAAGTAAAAGTAAATATACACTAGTTTGATCGATACTAAGGTAAAATATTGTCTGAGAATAACCCTAAGTAAAACAGAGGTCAAGATGAAGTGTAAAAAATGACACAGAATTTTACTGACACCCAGTCATCTTGTTTGGACAAGTTTGTTCAATAAAACAAAAAATAAAAAAATATACATATACATACATATATATATATATATATATATATGTATATGCATATGTATATGTATATATAATTATAATTATATGAAACGCCAATAAATAAAACTTTAGCAGTGGATTTCCCTGAAGGTGGCAGAACACAAAAAAACAGCGACAAGTAAGCCACTCAGGACTAGGTGGCTACCAAACACCACCTGCACTCAGTATGTCAGCAGGATCACTTTTGCAACCTCCCATGTAACCATGAATGGGAGATTGACTGCTGACCAGAAACACCTACTGTAAGATTGTAGCTGTTTGACTCAGAGTTTGCACAACTTTGAATCAACCAAAAACTATCTCTAATTTGAGAATCAACATTGTATTTTCAAGAGGGCAGTCAAATACTTTCTTCAAAAATGGTCTTCAGAAGCATAAATATCCTTTTCCAGGTTTTCAGTTAGATAAACAAAACAATAGTAGCAGAGGAGTGAAAAAGAGAGAGGGGTTTGGGTCAGGTTGGGTTGACCAGACCCATGCTTCTCTCATTTTTTCACTCATCCAAGTGTACTATGGCATCAATTGCTGTTTCACCCCATTTTACAAACTAAGTGCTTGAAATAGGTTAATGAATACAAGGCTCACCACACAACTGAACATGTGCAATCTTTACTCAATACTGTTCCACAAGTTACATTGTATATATCAAATGACATGCCTAAAGCAATATGGCATCAAACTCACCACCAGAATATTTTACCAGACTGTGTCATCAAGCCTGAAAAGAATTCACTACAGCTGATAGAGACAATTTTTTCTCCCAGAAGTTCAGCAAATGTCCTTGCAGAATGAGAAAGCTCCTGCACTAGGGCAGGAGGATCTCCACAATTTGATTCTAAGAGGGACAAAAATCAAAAGTTTGGATTAGAGGTATATTGTGCATTTACTGTTAATTTAAATCTAGAGACATTTAGTTCATGTTTTCTTTATCAAGAAAAAGTGAGGCTACAGACAGGGAAGGGGCATCCTACAATACATGTTATTCAGGCCTTGGGATATGTCAACTCTGCTAGAACTTTTCTATGAGAGGTTCCTGAGAAAGACTGTTTTTGCCAACATCCAAACAAAGGATTTCTCCATCTGATGCTCTAAATAAAAGCTGTATAATGACACACTATGGGAATTTGCATTGCAGTTTTGTCGATGAAATCACAAGAGGCAAAAAGGGAAATGGTATTTCTTGAGTGAGAATTCACAATGGATCAATCCTTCAGTAGTCGTACATGTTGGTATATTCTAAAATTCTAGGTCTTTGAATTACCAGAGCCAAAATTATGCTTGTACACACATGTACCTCATAGTTTCACAGTTTTTCATTACTAAGAGTACTTCTTGAGTGAGAATTCACAATGGGTCAAAATGCAAAAAATGGGAACAGATTTAAATTTGTCTTTAACTGAGAATGACTTCATTGGCATCCACAAATTCAAGCCAATTCTACACATTTTTTCCTCCATTACTGTACATTGTGAATCACATTTACTGAACACACACCTCTAAGAAGCTTGTCGTAAAATGTACAAATCTTTCCACTTGAAGTCACTAGTGAACAACGCACATTTGATGCTGCCAGAAGACAAACTTTTTCACTGTCCAGCCCTAAAGCCTCTCCTAATGGGTGTGGTTTTGCCAATGGAAAATAACTGGGTTCCAGTGAAGATGAAATCTCCATGGCAACATCACAAGCCACATCACTTTCATAGGGCCAGTGATAAAGGATTCCTGTTCCTTTCTCAACCAGAACAAATTCTGAATGCATTGCTGTTATGTGTGAGAAAGCAACTTCTTTCCCCTAATGAAAGAAAAAAAAAATACTTGCTAAAATTGTTTGAAAGCACAAACCAATTCAATCAACTTTTTGAGCAAGATGAAAATGCAAAGAAAAGCTGTTATAGGTAATAGAATCAACTAAAATTAAGTATTACTAGATGGATTATAATCATAAAACACAAAGTTTTTGACATCCCATCCAACCATTTCAATATTGAGTCCCTGTCCATAGTATGCTACTCCTGGGTTCATTTTGTTTGCTAAGATGGTTTTTCTACTTAATAAGTTTTTCTTCCAGCTCTTACAAACACACTTTGCTCTAAGCTTATACAATAATAAAAGAAAGCACTAGTTATATCTTATTATCTATCTCATTAAACCAAAATGTGTAATTCTCTGCTGATGAATATTGTTTGTGCCCCATTATGTGACAGTGTTCAGTATGCTTAATCAAGAAGCACAAAATTAATTTGTTACAAGGCACAAGTCAAAGTTTGTCAGTGAAGTATCAGATACATGTAACCTTCTTTAGAACCCTCCTAAAACAGATTTGATATATTTCTGTCAAGATTTATAACTGATGATGTAAAAAACTAGAAGTCAACAATAAAAAGAAAATAAAAGCAGTTAAATCAATCACCACCCTAATCTTTCTTGAGAGAAAACAATGCAATGAGAACACTCATTGAACAGTTTTATAACGACTTTAAATTTAACAGCTTCATTTATGATGCTTTTAATTTCTTAATCTTTTTTCCTTCTTTAGGAAGCCACTGAAAAAAGTCAGACTCACTTCACAATTTGGGGTATAATCATATCTACAAAGTAAAACAGGATTTTCACTGAGTCATAAAGCAGGAGGAGAGTACTATCGTTACTAGTCATAATCTCCTCATTTTTCCCCTTTCAATTCCAATGGTACTGACATTAGTAGAATTGTTTGACAGTCGAGAGCTTCTTAAATAATGATGATCCTTTCCTTTATTATCATGCTCTTATTATTTGGGTGATACTGTAAGGAGATATTAGAAACCAGTCACTCTTCTAGTTCCAGGGTTAAATACATGTAGTATGAAAGCAATCTAGGTTTTCAACATCTTAATAAACAACAGCAACAGCTATTGAAAACTTGAGCTTAAAAATTCTGTGCTGTGGCCAGAGAATTTTCCCATCTCTAATGCCTGAAAAAATACCCAGCACAGATAAACTCAGAATTTAGAAAGATCAAACCAACAATTTTTCAAGCATTTTGTCATAACAGGGACAATTGTTAAACACCAAAAACCCCTTAATGAAGTACAGGTGCATGCCGCTTCACTCACGTTTTCCACTTCCAGCCACTCCAGGTTGCCAATTTCAGGATAACAAAAATCTGGGTCATTGCAGCTAATGGTTTTACTATTGTCACCAGCAGCTCTCTCCTCTGTTCGTTGAAAATTAGTACTTGTGGGCCCTCTGGAAAACACATACGCACCTGCCAATTGCTCTGCAAGATGAGCACGCACAACATGAGCTTGGAGTGGTACAGAAGACCTACCAGACATCTGATTTCCACGGCTGATGTATGGTGGAAATTGTTGCACAGAACCAACTACTGGTATACCATATGGAGGCCAGGGTCTCACCACTCCAGGAAGATTTGTTGTATAGACTGTCCTGTGGAGGAGAGTGGGTGAAGAAACCAACCGACGAGAATTAGAACTTCTAGATGAAGTCTCCAACGAGGAATGATTTGCAGACAGATTTCCTGAAGAATTTTCTACCTCTTGATTACATTTGTCCTGCACATTTGGATTGGAAGTTCCAGCTGTTTCTTTGTCTTCTAATTTAGTATTACATGTAACTGAAGTTACTGAATTGCCCCCATCAGTAAAACTTTCATCAGGATTTATGTTTTTATCAGAATTGGAAGATTGCTTTGATTCATCTGCGTTTGTTTCGTGACTGCTTGATTCACCGTCTCCTACAGACGACGATCTCGTATTGCTTGATTGTTGTGGTTCTTCACTTTTTGTCTGAGTTTCTTGTTTAACCTGAGTTGTGACATAATTACTAGAACTTGTTCTTGCCGTCCATGGTCTCGCTACTCTTTGCCTTGTCCGATTACTAAGAAAAGCATTTCCTAAGCCATATCTATCGGAAGCTCGAAATGAAAATTGAGGTGAAGATGTCGCTCCTCCGTGCACTAGCGACCTGCTTGGTGAAGTCCTGTTGATCCTGATCTCTTCATTTAACTGATTTTGAAGTTGCTTCGCGTACACTTCGTCGCTTTTCACTTGAAATATTGTTTCCTCTGAACTGCCTTGTGAATTAATCAATGTCTGTGTGCCTTCGACACTTTTTGAAACACATTTAACCCTGCAAACACGACCATCATGAAAGAGAAATCCTATGAACGCCGGACCCACTGCAACTTGGACAATCTTACTCGTGCCAAAGTCTGGCAGAGTGACACAATTTTTGGCTTTTTCCAACTCGCTGTCACCGTCAGTTGATTCATCCAACACTTTCTTAATGTACTTGAATATTTCATCTTCAACGGTATCTTTGGATTTATCCTTACTTAAACGGACGAAAATGATGCGAGGAGACAAATTTGTCCACGCATGATTTTCGCTCTGACCATCCGCCATACTTTTCGGCGTATAAGAATACGAAACTAGTTCCAAGTTCCACGCGACTGCAAAAAATGCGAAAACCGTTGCGCGTGTAACGCACGCGTGATCATTCATGTGATGTACAGCGCGTTACGTGACGCGGTTTTCACAGCTGATGGTAAACTCATTTGCATCTAAAAAAATCCTTTTGCCTTCGAGGATTGAATTCCAAATTTGTAATCCGGAATCATTTTGTATGTAGTTATAGCATGTTTGTCGTGTTCGTTGGTCGTTGCTCAGTTTGTCGTACTGCGGAAGTTCACAGATCATATCATATATCATTCCACTGTCAGTTTCCGTGTTGGAAGAAACTGACTGAAATCAAAGAGAGCTGCTTCGTCTATATTGATTCATTGTATTTGAATGGTTGTGCTGTTCCAGTTCATCATTGCAGAGCCACTTTAACTTATTTTTTTTTTGAGATTGATGACAATTATTCCTTGTTTTAAAAAGGATAAAAGTTTATGTATGTACTTCCTCAACGGGTGATGAGTTGTCAAGTGATCCTTTCTATTCCTTGTGATCATCTGTCACTCAATCGTACTGCATTGTGACGTCATCTGTGATCTGTTACTGAACAGACCCACGGCAACATGAGAACTCAGTTTGTTAAATAGATTTTTATCCCTTCTTGCGACACCCCCCTATCGGTTCACTAGAATGAACACATAAATGTTCCTCGTCCGCCTAGTCCGTCGCCGGGACAGGAATATAAAGTCTGATGTTTCAGCTCAAAGCAATTATCCTGTCACTTAATTCAAACAACTCTCAGTTTCGAGAAAGCGGCATATGTTTGACAGCACAGTCTTGGAGAGAATCTCGTGTTTTGATTCCTCGTTAAAGATGATTAGTGAATGAACAAAGTGATAAAATAAATACAGTAATGAAAGAAATGACTGGATATGAAGGAACAAGTAATTAAACGAGATATAGGTTTATTTTTAACGCGATTGTATTTAGTTTAAGACCTGTAACTTGAAGAACGTGCTGACATATTTTCCATGTCTACGCCCATTTTTTTCTTACTTTCAGGTCCTGAAAACAATATTTTATGTATTCCCAAAATATTAATTTTCATCTGGTCCTCAAACCTCTGCTCTCCACTATAATCATGCATTTGCCATAAAAAAGTTTGAATGTAAATTGGAAGTCGCGCATCAACGATAAAACCACCACCTTTAAACATTCAGCTGAGAATTATATTTTCAAGTTGGTCTGGCGGGCTGGTTCTGAGACAATGAATACCGGCTTTTATCCAGAGATTTTAACGTGCGATTGTTTATTGCAGCTTTATCTTAGTAAATTCAGTTGCAAAGCCCAGAGGACTACGAGCGACATAAAACCGCCCAGTTGTTTACCATTTTCATTGTAAGCATTTGCCTTCCCCAGTTGCATGCTTGCGAACCAACTCTCTGTCCGTTGTCTAGCTACTGAAGTTCACATGTCTGGTATCACTATTAAAGCAATATTCACGACCTTGATTTTTCTATCCCTCTGTTACAACGGTAAGTGCAAGTTGAGGTAAAACATAAGATATATAAAAACATTCACATTCGTTGCCTAGTGTCGCATTTGCAAGTAAATTTTAGTCTCAAGATGCTGGTACAACTCGGGCGTTGGTTAAGTTTCAGATGGTTTCCATGACAAGATGATTTAATTGATTTCGCGCAGATCTTAGGCACGGTATTGTCTTGTTCCGTGCCTGATGAAAATGTAAAATTTCAACAACTTGCAGCTGTACATAGCTCTCAACTTCGAACTCGTGAGATAAATTCTGCGGAGAAAAATAGTGACTTTCAACCGTATAATTATCTTTTAGATTCTGCTGAAGAAGACTGGGCGTGTTCACTTAAATTCATAGCTAAGAGTCGATCATATACATACATTTTTAAAATTCTTAATTATTTAACGATTTCATGGTAGATGAAAGTGCATACCGGTATTTATTGTCTACACAATTTATATGTAATTGGTCTGTAGAATAGCAGGAGTGGAAAAATGTCCTAGATCGGTGAATCAACAATTTATCCACGCATTTATTTCTTGCAAGCTTGCAACAATTATTTTTCCAGGTTCCGGTTTGTGTTCCAAGGATGAATTCAAATGTGACGTCATTAAATGCATTAACAAAACCTTGCAATGTGATGGGAAAGTAAACTGCAATGACCACTCGGATGAACTTCATTGTGGTAAGCAACTCTAATCCATTTAACTCACAAATCTCTTTAGTAATTCTCCTTAACGGTTAGCCATACAATTCCTACGATATTAGTTTGGAGAATCTGGTATTGGATCAACTAATGATCCCCTAACTGATATTTTTCTTAATTCTCATCACTTGCCTACGTGATATTGTTTTGAGATTGTGAGGAGAAATTATTTCTTGGTCACTCATGGGAGTTAAAAAGTTAATAATTGAAAACTTAAAAGATCTAAGTGAGGAAGTGGAATTTTCCTTCTGAACTACTATAAAATTCCTTGAGAAAATTAGGTGTTATGTGACATTTGCGGTGTCTTACTTGCAAGTTCCTTTTTTCTCGTCACCTACGGGCTGGATGGTGTATTGATATTTTGAGAGAAGTTACATTTTTCACACTTCTGCAAATTATTCTATTATCCGTTGTCTTAGCGGCAATGTGGTTCGTTTGCTAGCTGTTAGTTCGAATATATTTTCCTTCCAATCACTCTCTCTAAGAGCTCGTTCATTGGAAACCTTACTGTTTTTTTTAAATGAACTCCTTGTGAATGGCTCCGCTCTCAGCTACTTCTCCTTTTAATCCAAATTGTTCGTTTTCCAATTTGTTCGTCCCAAGTTCTGAAACAGCAGTTGTAAGCCTTTTCCTATGAACTGACTGATCATCATAATTTCCTTGTTCTTCATCTCATATGTGAAAGAAACGAAGCAAAGTAACAGAACCACAAAAACCGCTGTCGACAGCACATTGTCACTCACCCATCCCACTACTCTCACCACAGCCCCACCCACTCCTCCCGGAAGCTTCCATAAAAGAACAAAGTTTATACCACCTAAGAAAGTCAAGGAAAATGGATACAAACGGAAGAGAGTTAACTTCGACAATCAATCGAAGAGAAAAAAGAAACGTCCATCTCACCACACAAAAACTTTGCCTTGGTCATCTCAACCCGAAGCTTCGACAGGGGCATCGGACAATAAAACACTCCAGGTGGATTTTGAGACACTCGATTCAGATCTTGTCACGCATTGCTCTGCTGAAGAATGCGTGAGGTCGAAGGCTTGTTGGCGTGACGTTAAAGGGTCTCGCAAATGTCAATGTGATGAGGTAGCATGCGGGGGAGGTTGGGAACTAAGAATGCATGCTGGGAATGAAGACAACAAGGATATAAAAGGTGGGTCACATTAGATCATGCGAAAATAGAAACTTCATTTAAAACCTTCACACGGGGTACATTGTGAGCCCATAATTTCCCAATCATGGCCCAATAATGGCTCGATAATGTTCAGATCATCCATTAAAAGTCTTGAAATGGAAGAGCAGTCAAATGCTTAGAATCCACTGTAGAAAACGCGACCAAGGTGTGATCAGTTTTAGTTTGTATATGATTGGTTGAGAAGCACGCGAGTTTTTTTGTTTGTTTTATTTATCTATTTATTTTTCACGATAATAGCTCGAGAGTACAGTGAGGAAACTTGACATTTTTTTCCTTTGCAGATGTGTTTGAATGGAGCGTCATTTCCATCTCCTCCACAAGTCTTATTGTGGCGATTATTGTCCTTATCTTAAAAAGAAGGAGACTCGGTGGCCGTTACGTCAGGCCATTACACGTACGCACAGTGGTATATTATCATAACGAACCATTCAAGAGCCCATGCCAGAATGTAAATGCTGAAAACCGCCCCATAGTAGATAAGGCCGGGTGCCATAGCAATGTAGATCAAGATGAAGGAAACATGTGCTATATTGATATCAGTGGCGAAATAAAACGAGAGAAATAAATTCATGAAGAATTCGTAGATCGGATTGGCTTATATTCTGACTTGGAGATCTTAGAACTCTGCATGAAGTAGCAATAAGCATGAACAACTCTTTCGTCCCATCTGGCTTTCACGGATCATGTGTTCAAATGACCATTTCTACTGAAAGAGACCTAAAACGTTAAGTCTTGTAATTCTGCCGAATTTTCACGGAGATATAGGTTAGATTACGAATCAGTGGTTCTTTGAAACTATAAACGCATTTGAATGAAGAGTAGAGAAGTGAGAATAATTATAACAGTAAAATCTCAGTCGAATGGGCCTTCAGCAATGGAATAACAATGAACTACTTTAACTGTTGCCATAATCCTTTTCAAAGTAGGAAGCTATTGTATCGATTAAAATTCTATTAAATTACAAGCATTCAAATTATGATCTCAGTTTTCTTGTGCTTATGACAAAAGAGTGTACAAAAGTCGCTTTCCCTTTTCTCTTTCTGTTCATTGATCTCTTAGCTGCAGCTGGTTTTAATAACGGTGCCACATGCGGTCACAGGCAGTACTACGCCGTGAGTGTGCCTTGAAACACATCACCATTTTCATTTTGCTTCTCGGCCTCTTCCTCCACAACGCTGATTGTAAACCTTCCAGTCTGATGGAAGATCCTAGGACAAACAAACGACCTTATTTATAGAGGGGTCTTTAAACATCATTTTACTTCCTTTACTTGTGGAGTTTGTTTTGAGGGTATTTTACTTAAGAGGTACTCTTAGATTAGGGCGTAATTATTAGACAAAAAAAACATAACTTTAAAGAGCGCTATGAATAATAAAGCAGGATATGTGATGTCCTATTTTCCAAGATAATTTGGCGGGAGCTCTCCTTAAAACACGTTGTTGAAATGTTGAACCTTCATTCAGTTTGCAATTAAAAAAAATTGTTTTTTCGAAATACAAGGCGCCTAATCTGTAGTTATTAAGCTAGCATCGTATGAAATTATTGTTCCTGTGCACTGCGCTCTTTAAGACTTATAAATTATTCCTGGTTATTCCATGCATCATAATGATTATTTTCGGTTTTGCGTTCTGTGAAAGTAATCAATTATTAAATCTTCGAGACTCTTCGCTTCGAAGGACAATTTATTACTTTCTGAAGCCATTTAGCAAAAAAAGGAGGTTGTTTTGATAAAATTTAAAAGATGATGAATACATCATTTGAAAATTCACATGGCTAGAGAATTCTTCGATCGAACTTCGTTCAACGGAAGAGATGCTTCCCAATGTTAGAGGGTGTCTATGGTAACAGAATTTGAGAATATTCTGGTTTAAACAGGTGCTCCCTGGCACACAATTAAGTCATAGACCAGAATAATAAGAAATTCTCCTAGAATCAAAATGTCGCCAAGAAAATTGTACTTACAGAAGTATCGACGCAGAACCATCAAAGAAAATCTGAATGGAGCGAAATTGATTTGAAAATTTGTGTCTCTACTGAAAATTTTAATTAATTTCTGCGTAGTGTAAAAAAAAAATTTGAATTGAATTTATTGGTAAACAACCGATTAAAAAGGGCCGTGACGTAAGGGCTTGTGGGAGAGAGCAGGTAACACGATTGTTTCATGCGAGTCACAACGTAAACATATTCCTCATCCAATCTTCATAAATATAGATCGAAATCTAGACTAATGTAAAGAGGTTGGGCGTTGTAGCGGATAAGTGAGTTTAGAACCAGAAAAATTCATCTTGAACTTTTGCCTACGAAATTTTTTTTTTCACAGGAAATTGGGTTTTCAAGCGTTTTTACACTGATGGCTAACGAGTGTGCGATATTTCCCAATCAAATGAGCGGGATGCAGTTTTTCTGGCCCTCCAATGATATGTATATGGGCTGCAGCCCAAATACACTGACACAATTGCAAGAGAAGGTCTTACGATCGTTATCTAAGAGACAAGAGGAGGAGAATTTACAAGTGGTTCCCGAAAACAACAATGTTTTTGACGATTATTCTTCGAATCCCTGTCAATTGACGCACGAAACCCGAGACTGCTCCGGCTCAAGACTGCTGCCTTTTTATCAAGACGAAAATAAACTTAGCGCTCATTTCCCATGGAGTCCAGGATTGCATAAATCACCAATAACGACTACGTGTACATCTTTAGAACCCTTAAGCACTCCCACATTTCCATTTTCGCCGCTTTTGAAGAGCCCAGGTTTTTGTTCGGCGCCCAGAAGTCCGTTAGCCATGATGGTGTTAAGCCCGTTCGGCCGAAAGCCTTCCGAAGATCTCTCCGTGTACTTACCGGAGAATTTCACTCCAGCAACGACTTTAGAGCGTCTTGAGCGATCGATTACCAGTACAGTGTTCCAGTTTCCTTCCGTTGAACAAGATCAGGATGAAGCTAAGGAAACAAAGCGCAACTGTAATGAGAAAGAAATTTCTGACGAGAAGGAGATCGACGTTGAAGACACAAATGTTTATGGGGAGGAGGAAAATTGGTTTTATTTAAACACGCGAGAGGTATTCCTTGATTTTAACGATGCCGAGAACTTTGGAGGTACTGAGATAGTTAAAGATGACTTCCAAAAGACGCCTAATTTGAATCAGACTAAAGACGGAAAGAAAAAATTGAGAAGCAATAAAGGCAATGTAGACTGTTTCTTAGGGATTGGTTTTAGGAATGGACTCGAACGAAAACGTCGAAGCGAAATGAATTCCAAATATGAAAAATTGAGGAGATTTATACCCGAGCTAGAGAACAGACAGAAAGCTTCGAAAATACTCGTACTCAGAACCGCAGCACAATACATAAAAGAACTACAGAGGCAAGATGAACTACTTAGTAAGCAAAAAGACATGGAGAAACGTAGGAATGAAGAACTACTGAAAAAGCTTGTAAAAATAAATTCGTAGTCCAAGCTTAAATAAAAATCGACAAACATAAATTTCAAAAGATAACGAACTGTCGCATATACCAATAGTTTGTATTTCATTAAAATAAAATAGCTACAACGAAACGGTTTGTATCTGTTCCTTTTCTCGTTGAGTTTTGGCGAGGCTAAGAGAATTTTGTTTAATTGGTTTAGACTGCATTCAAAATGCCTCTACCTTTCTTAACTTTTTTAAAACTACGCGAAAGAAAAAGTGGGCTGTGTTAATTCTGTCGTACGCGTCTCTAGGTGACACTCTCCTTGAACAAGCATTCCACCTAAATGGAAACTTAAGCTTCCGGCGAAGCTAACTTGGATACAAACCAAACAATCTGACTTCTTGTCAAGCTTTTGTACATTTAAACGTAGAACAGCTTCAATGGATATGTGCTTTACATTTTTTATCTGTCAAAGGACTCTGGAAATTCTACGGAAAGAAGATAAATTGTATCTTACATATATATATGTATGTGTCTCTTCTCTTAGCATCCGGGCACTTCAATCGTATAAATTTACCCACGGGCGGGATTTTACGACTGTTTTAGTGAGATAGCCACCCAGATTAAGAGACACTTACAGAGTTCTGATTGTTTTGTTCAGTAAAGTCAAGACAGCTGTATTATGATATACTTTCCTCCCACGAGACAATGTCGAAATCTGGCGCGAACGTGGGACAGGGGAAGGCTTTAAGTTCCCCTTGCGGCATTTTGCTTTTGGTAGTTCCCACTTCGCGCGCGCGGTCGGAAAGTCCACCAATTTTTGGCGCAGACAGCTCGATAGCGATGGCTATGATCATTTCTGAGACCTCCTGTAGCCTGAATGATTTGCTTTTTTCTTCTTTTTTTTCTCTTGGACCCAGATATTACCGATTCAGAGTAACTTTTAGCATTGTATTTATGTTCTTTAGTTAAAGATCGAGAAGAATGGGAGCACATTTCAACATTAACTCCCAATATCTGATTGGTTATTCTCCCCATAAGCCGCTACACATTTCTTTCAGATTCCGTAACGAGAATTTGGTGTTAAATCAATGTAATAAGTTCTATACCCGATAAGTTTGAGTGATCTCAAAACCTGTTCGGTGGATAATGTATGGATATTATAGGGAGAATTTACATGTTAATCACCTGTGAGAGTGAAAGGGTCGAAACTATCCAAAACTTCTTGCGCATAGGGTCAGGAGTTGAACAGGTGGAGTGGCAAAAACCCTAACAAGAAGTTCGATCTAATTCCAAGTCACCATTTGTAGCGAGATTAGAAGGAAATAGCTGAACAAACCACGCAGAGAAGGAGGAGTATACCACTGCTTTTCTGTTACTAAAGTAAAAAAAAAAAGTAAAGCCTTTATACAGGCCCAAGTGGCCCGTGGGGCCGGCGCTTCACTCCGGTTTCCTTAGCAGGATGCAGCTAGGAGTATTGCTACTCACCCCTGGATGGGATGCTAATCCATCGCAGGGTTACCCCAGTATACTTGATGGTACCCATTTGTACATCTGGGTGTAGAGAAGCAATGTTAGAGTAAAGTGTCTTGCCTAAGAACATAACACAATGACCCCGGCCAGGGCTCGAACCCGGACCACTCGATCGGGAGTCGAGCGCACTAACCACGAGGCCACCGCGCCTCCACCCTGTTTCTAATGTGTCCACAAAATTACCAAAATTACCAAGCTTGCTACTTTTATTCTCGCTTGTTTGTGTTTCTAACCATTGGAGGTTACTATCATCTGTAGCTGGAGCTATAGTTTTTAAGCACAGGTGATCAAATTCAGCGATAGTTCTGCTAAACCCGAAATAGCAGTTGTTTTGAAAGAAACTCATTGCACACAAAAAGAAAACAACAGGAAGAAATTTTGAACTCAGAGGTCAAGTCCATTGCCAAAATAATTTCACAATTATAACCTTGACACTAATTTCGGCCCAAACGTTTCAGGCAAATATTAACACGCTTGAAACAAGCCGGAAACAGACCGAAAATAGAAAGCGGGTCAACAATTTGACAGAATAACAGATTTGATTTAAATTCTCAACGGCGTTACTATGATATTTAATGTGGGAAGACTTAGGATTAACGCAATTGACTTTTATGATGACTTCCGTTCAGCTGCAAGTTGCTGAAAGATCTGTCTTAGTCAGAATCAACAGATCTCTCTTCTTCAGGAATACCCTAAACGGAACGAACACAGTATACATGACTGTTTATACTCTGGTTCTAAAGCTTTCGATGATGGCATGAAAATTCTTTCTAGAACTTTTAATAAACAAAAAAAAATAAATCAACAATTTTTTATTTAAACTAAAAAAACTGCCCGACAGAAATCTAGTCCTTTCTTTTTTAAATTAAGTTCATTCACTCTAAATCAATTCAAAATAAATTTCCATCGTTGACTGGAATCACTTCGGAGAAGCAAAAAAAAAATCGTATTTTTAATATTTCTTGGATATAAATAGAAGTGAAGGCATAAAAACGACCAAAGTTGGGTAACGAAAATTAGTTACCACCTCCGTCACTTCCTGGATGTTTTATGACACATTGCTTATTTGAGGGGTCTATTTTTTATGGGTCTCAATAGAGTCGTATAAATCAGTGGATAAATGAATTTTCTTTTGCTTTCAATGTATTATTTCGTTCACTTCCTGACAGCTATGACACAAAAGTAAACCAAAATATGACTGATAAGGCTTTCTCAATCTGACTTATGACGACCGGATCACTCTGTTTTCGACCGAGAACTCTGATGATATACCACGCAAAAAACTTAGCCTTGCCAAAAATAGGAGGTTTAAGAACAATGCAAGCTGCAAACTTCTCAAAACGATGTATAACTCTGCCATCAAAGAAATGCATATGTCGGAGAGGGTAACTTTTTTTATTTTTCACAGCTTGATTAGGATAAAAAAATTAAAAATAAAGAACAAAGTTGTCGCTTTCAAGCTTTCTGTTACACTACGATGAAGTTTTGTAATATAATTCTATGCTCTAAGTATTTTTTGAATAACCTTCTAAAAGTTCTCGCTGAGTAGGAAAGGTATTTCTCGAAAATTCGCACTGTGTGCGTGCCTAGCTGTCTCATGCGCGTCGAAGTCTTTAGTTTTTTCACGAATTTTCAGCGTCTATCTTTTGATTCCGCTTAAAATGCCGTGCATGACATGTTTTACATACGTTTATCAGTTTGATACAAATACAATTCAGCTGTGGCAAATATCTCATCGATATCAGAACATCCATATTTTTAGAATCCAGTCATTCAAATTATGACAAACACGTTTTGCGAAACAACGAGAAAGTCGTTGTTTCGCACGAAAATGACTTGATCACGCTATCAAAAATATATTCAGTCCTAGCGTAGAACATTTTCAAAGAAGGCTGCATTAAAGCTTAAAGGCGAGACGGAGGCGTTTCTTCGCACAAAATTTCCAAATATCTTGAGGTAACCTTATAGTTAAAATTGAATTAATCAATTGCTATGGCAACGTGCCAACATATTTACATGTGTTTCCCGTATGCGTAAAACCCTAATGCTGTCGTTCCATTATAGTACTCACGACACGCAGAAATAAAGCAGATCATGTCATGACAATACGTCGTTCGTAAGAATCTGTTGAATAGCCTTCGAGCCCAAAAGCTCAGACAGAGGAGAGATTGATCAATTTAACGCTGTTGATTCGAAATGTTTCCCGTGAACGACGAGTCTGCGATGAAAGAGCGCAGCGAAGAGGATGTTGATTATTTATTCCTTGCGAGCGTCGATTCTTCTTCTTCGTCAGAAGATGAGAGTGAAAGCGGTGATATCCTCAATGTGAGCTGTCACAGTAATCACTTTAAAAGGATGAAGGCCGAACCGGATCAATGCGATGTGTTCGCCATAAAACGAAGAAAATTTCACACACAGCTAGACCTCCTCGATTCAGATCTGATGTTGATGACTGTTGGCGTGAGCAAACCAAGCAACGCTGTCGAAGAATCGTCACCTCGTCCAGTTCGACGTCCAAGGAAAGTGCCGCGGAGTAAGCGAATGTCGAAAAAGACTGATGTTGTCTCAACTTCAATCAATGGATAGGAAAATCCATGCCTGACAATTTCAAATGGCTACTACGGTTGACTGCTAAAGATCGAAAACGATTGAGCAGAACTGTGTACACAAATTTTAACTTGGCAGGAAGGGAATTGCGAACTTCCTCGACGGCTTGGCAAGTTTTGCCTGTTACAAGAAATCTAACTTTTCTAAGGAAGGCATTTCCTAATAATTAATCATTGCAGAAGAATTTAAATTTTACTCTTTGAAAGACAAACAGAAAATTAAGGAATAACCACGAACCTTCATAACCACGTATTGGAGAAGAGAATAAACACTACGTGAAATTAAGAGACTACTCTTGGAGTGAATATTATGGAAAAATGTATATAGAGATAGTACAGAACAAAAATATATATTATTTATTCAAATATTTATTTCTAAAAACCGTGATAAAATCGGCAAACATGATGTAAATGTTAAAATAGAAAATAATGAGTCAATAAATTGTGAGCTGTTCTGAGATTTTCTCAAGTGTTTGCTAATTATAACTGACGCTCGTAATCTTGTAGTAGATTGACTTAAATGCGAAATAACTCCTGAAAAGTCTAGCATTTTCCACTAGAAAGATTTAATCCGATTTGTAGACGGCAACTGACGACTAACAGCTACCCAACCGAATTTATTTTTTTGTTTTGGTTACACTTAAGTAGTGAGTTCACGTTGCTGCCAAAAACATTTCTGTTCCTACCGATTTGCTATCAAATGCGCCAATACCAAAGCTTTCTTTCCATCGAAATATCGTTTCAAAAATAAATTAGGCAGAAAATTTATTTATTGTTTTGTCATGTAACCACGAGTGCGAAAGGGTTGTTTACTTGTTAACGGTCTGTTTGGCACGTTGCTAAGGAAAATACTTGAGTTTGCATATTAGTGTTATTGAAAGGAAAATCACAAGATCGAGATAGAAAAAACAGAACATAGAGCAAGGAAGCGAACGCTGATATCGTTGAAGATCAACCATTCCGATTTATGTTCAGTTTTCTCTTTTTTCCGTGTGGAAAAATAACTTTC